AAATATCCTCTCAGAGCTAAAAACATCTGATATAAAACAGGGTGGGTCTTTGCTCAATTAAGTATTCAGTTGGCAGCTCCATCTTAGCTACAAAGCAGTTTTTATTGTTTGCATGAGTGTGAGATTCTAATTTTTTGCAAAGATGTAAAATCCTAATATGCTCTATCAGAAGCAAAATGCATGGCTACTCAAGACCCACTGGTCAACTTGTTAATATTTGGAACCCCCACTTGGTATTTGCAAAGCCTAGGAAAGGGCACCCTCAGAAGATTAAGCATTGGCATCACTCTTGAGAGCACCAGCCTGCTCCCGGGTGTCCCTGAACCTGCCCTGTGGGTGGGACATGTCCAGATAAGGGATGAGTTTACCACCTTCTTTTCTAGATAGAATTACTTCCAAGACATGGGATACAGTTACTCACTCTGGAAAAGAATAAGTCGAAAATGTCTAAACATGTTTTGCAGCAGATATATTTATAGAGTCATTTTATCATGATTAATAGTAGAAGCACATTTTAAGCAGCATTTGGTAGTTTAAACTGGTGACAAGTTAAGTTAGTTGGAAGGAGGAAGATGCCTCCTTGACCCACAATTACAGTCAGGGGACCAACCTTTCCCAGGTCAGAAGTTTTCCCAAACCTGAAATTCCAAGGTGATAATAGAGTTTGAAAATAGAAAAAGCTGATTACTTCGCTTGCACTGCTAGGTATGCTTAATGTTATTTTGTAGTTTTCTTTATGTTCCTTCTAGAGCTCCAAAAATTGTTCATTGAATTCTTTTTCCTCTTCCTTCAGAGAAACCAATTTGAAGTTCAAAATGGCTCTTGAAATCACACACCAGTATCTCCAAATAGAAAATTCATTGGCAAAATTTGATGGTTTGTACAAACACGTCTTTGTTTTAAATTTTAGCTCCTCAATTCAGCTCCTATTAATTAAAACCAGAAAATCATTCATATGTGAGAACTTAATGTGATTCATATCTTTTTAAAAGGTTTAGTTGAATGTGAAGAACCCAATAACCGACTGGATAAGTTTACAGGAACGCTATTTTGGAGAAACACAAATTTTCCTTTGGATGTGCATAACATTTTGTTGCGTGGCTGTGTGATTAGGAACACAGATTTCTGCCATGGACTGGTCATTTTTGCAGGTACTTTGAGAGTTTCTTGGGAAATTGATCTAATGGTCTTTACATATTTAAAGGGGAGGGGAATGCTTTTGTGTCCTTTCTCCATTGAAACTAAAGGTGGGTAATTTTTTTTTAAGATTTTTATTTATTTTTGTATAGAAGAACTGGGGTGTAGGCCAGAGGTTTAGGGGGTGAGAGGATTCACCAGAGACAAAGCAGGAGCAGAGCAGGTGGATTTACTGAAATACACTGCTAAGTGGGGCAGCAGACAAGACAGGAGAGGTCTGCTGTTCCATGTGGGTCAGCTCCCTGGCCTGAGAAACTCAGGCCGAAGCGGTGATTGCACTGAGACTTAACCCGTAGGCCACCAAGGAAGTCTAATTTTATTGATGTGCCAGTGAAGTGATTTTCCAACCATTGATTGCTTTGAATTTTCCATTTTTAGGTGCTGACACTAAAATAATGAAGAACAGTGGGAAAACCAAATTTAAAGAACTAAAATTGATTACTTGATGAACTACGTGGTTTATACGGTATTTATTTTCTGTTTCAGTACCTGGGAGATCACACTGCAGGTTTTGCTCTAATTGTGTTATATGTTTTCCTGATGTAAAGAAATCCCATGTAGAAAACTGCAAAAAGTTATCCAAGGTTGGATGAGGGGGAGCGGAAGGGGGAGAATTCTCATTTTTTTCTCGGAAATGCTACCTTTGTAATAGGAGAATCCCCTGGGGAATGGAAACGAGTGGTAGGTGCTCTGAGTAGTTGACTATCTGTGACTTGAGTGACCATTTGGAAAATCAGAGTCCTCGGTAGGTTAATGGGACTGGGCTGCTGAAGTCAAGGGAGGGCTGATTGTGCTGCTCTTCGTTTCCCAAAGGAGCGGTTCTCTTAAAAATCAAAGCTTTCCTCCCCAACATATGCTACGTCCAGTTGTATTTAACAAGGCTAAATGTGTTTGGGGTCACATTAACTGTCCCCAAGTTTAACGATCCTCTAGAGAGACTCACAAAATTCAGCATAGACAACTATGACTTATTACAAAGCAAGATCAGCAACGGCAGTGGTTTGATGGGGCAAAGTCCAGAGGAAATCAGGGATAAGGAAGTGTCCTTCCCGTGGGGTCAGATGCACAAGACGCTTACCTTCCCAGCAACGATCTGTGACAGCCCATGTGACATGGTGTCTATACCAGGAGGATCACTGGAGACTTGGTGCTTGGAATTTTACTGGGATCTGGTCATGCAGGAGCTGTGTCCTTAGCATGCACCAAGTTCCAGACTCTTCGAAGGAACCTGGGTGGTCAGCATAAACCATAGTGAGAATAAGAGATAAGAAATCAGGAGGACCCCCAAAATAAAAGTTCCAAGAGTCTAGCCAATGCCAGTCTTGCCAACAGGCAACCTTAGGATTGCAATCTCAAGCCTGCTGTGCATTAGCCCTTCTGCAAGTAGGGGGACTCCTAAATAGTACACAGCTCTCCAGTTTCCCAGGGAGAATCAATCTTTTGCAAGTATTTAGTTTAATTTGACTATGTAAACATTTAGAAACTTATAATACATTACTTTAATTGCCTTTACCTACTTAAAATCATATATATGAAATAGATTAATACAAGAAGCAATTATTTTTCTCCCTGCTCTTACATTGTATGAAAATATTTGAACGTTCTTGACCTCCTCCAGGTCACCGCAGGTCTTGGCCGGAGCGCTCTCAACCAGCGCACTCATTACGGTCTTGTCTTCTCCACCTGCCAAGGTGTTTTGAGATAGAGCACTTCAGGCCTCTGTGTTCCAGAAACTTCAACCTGGACCTGGACATTTCTTTCCTACCCACCAATACCACTAGAACAGTGGACATTTGTCTTTTTATTCATCCTCCATGTGGATGTGCGTAGTGTCCACGACATAACACTTCCTGTGCTGCTTAAGTGATCTTGATTACATGGTGCACGAATGTACCACCGACACTTAGGAATAATTACTCATATCTGGAGAAATTTCTGTGCCTTCTTTTTAAAATAATTGTTGCCGTCAAACTTTTCCAGTAAGCACCCCAACTGAGTAGTGTTTGAAATGTAAGGTCAGTTGCTCTCCCCAGCTACTGTCAAAGCAAAGCCATCGAGAAAGTGCCTGGCAATGTGAGAGAGATAATTCTTTCTCTTCTGAAAGATAATTTGGGGAACAAAACCTCACCTTATATATGTGGTTTGTAGGATCAGTCAGTCAACTATAGATGTCAAATGAACTTTCAAAGCACTGTTTTTCTGTTAAGTGTATTGTTTTTACTGACTGTCAATTGTGAGGGAAAGGTGGGGTGAGGCTGGAGTTGTGGGGGTGACAGAATTCACTAGAAAGAGTGGAGAAACAGAAAAGGGGGATTTATTGAAATACACTGCTAGAGAAGCGTGGGCAATACAGGAGTGGTCTGCCCCCGAAAAAGAATTTGGGGATCCCTCTTCTAACCTGTTTTCATGGGCTTTTCATGACTGGGGAGTCAGTGTGGGCCAGCTAGTGCTGGGATGTCTGGTCTTGGGCATTGAGCTTTAACACAGAATGTGTCCTGGCCCTGCTTCTTGACCCATTCAGGGTCAAGGTGATCAGCCTTATGGCTTTGTTTCCATAGCAACCTTATCAATTTTCTTTATTCAAGCCTTCCAGACCTTCCTGCTGGGGAAGAGGTGGGGGCTTATATTTTAACCTTATTAAATGATACCCCAACACCAATGACTGTAGACATGTGAAGTGTTGAGTAAAGTAATTAGTATCTATGAAATGTAGGGAAACCTACCCTTCAGAATACACTTAAATGTGTCATGTCTTCTAGATCTTCGTTGTTCTCATCCTCCTCTCTGCTGGTCTTGCCATTGGCCATGCTTACTGGGAAGCGCAGGTGGGCAATTATTCTTGGTACCTCTATGATGGAGAAGATGCTACACCCTCCTACCGTGGATTCCTAAATTTCTGGGGCTACATCATTGTTATGAACACCATGGTGCCCATCTCTCTCTATGTCAGGTAAGGCTGTCTTCCAGTGTTTTGCTTTAAGGGAAGAGCATGGTGCATTATCAACATTTCCAACCTTGCACCTTCATTTCTAGTGATCATTGTTTCAAAGGTCATAGAGTACAAGTAAGAAAATCACTTTCACTGAAGAATAGGAGGTCACAGAGGAAAGGAATTTAGCCTACCCTGTGCCAGGTACAGAACCTTGTATCTCTACCTTGAGATAAGACGAGTTCAGAGATCAAATGTCAATCCTGTTTCGCTCATTTGATGAGTTTCCTCCGTGGCCGTAGGGCCAACCTTCAGAAACAGCCTGGGAGAAGGTGAAGACTTAAATTGTCATGAAAAATATGCATTTTCCTTTTCAGGAGATTTCCAGACATTTTTTTTTTTATATTTATTTTATACAAGAACTGGGGTACAGGCCAAATGCATGGGAGGGTGAGAGGATTCACCAGAGACAGAGCAGGGAACAGAACAGGCAGACTTATGAAATACACTGCTGAGGGGAGCAGCAGGTGAGACAGGAGAGGTCTGCCATGCCATGTGGCCAGCCGGGATCAAACTGGCACTGCAGAGGCTGTGGACAGCTTCTCAGCGTGGCACTCAACCACCTGCGCCATCAGGGGAGGCCAGACTTTTAATCTGCCTCTTCCTTATTACCACCTGCCACACCCATGGTTTCTAAAACTCCCTGGGTTTCCTAGCCACAGACCCTAAGGGGTACGCCACCTCCCTGCCCTGCTCTAGCTTCTCAAAATGTTTTTCTTATCTGTTTCCACCTCAGTGGAAGATTTAGGGTCATATCCAGGGAAAGTGCCTTGTTTGGTGATATTTCCTCCTTTTTTATGACATCGTTAGTATCAGAGATCACTGTCACTGGTTAATTCAATTTTAGACCTTCTGGTAAGGGGCTGTGCCTTGAAATATACTCAGCAGCCAGCATCTGCTCTTAGTTCTAGTAGGTGGTTGCCCAGAGGCATACAAGATCACACGCACACTTGTGATTAGGAGCTTTTGTTTTATTTTAATTTTATTACACATGTGTTTATTTCATTTTAATTTTATTATCTATGCATGTGTTTCATTTTTTTATTTTATTACACATAGTAACTGTTGTTTTTTTAACATAAAGAAAAAGCCTGGGGGAGTTATCTGTTCACAGCTATTTACTTCTATTTTTTTTTAAACCAAGATGAGTTTTCCTTTGTCCAGGACACTGTTGCAAAGATTATTTTGTATAAAACTATACACAAGTTTTTTTTCAAAGTGCATATGTATTTTTTGGGTTTTAAAAAGGTCATTTCATGTAACTAATTGATTTCTTTCTTTCTCTTGGGACATAAAGATCCTTTAAAGATAGATCCAGGGCCTCCTCTGGTGGCACAGGCACTTGAGCACCGCACTGTGAAGCTGTCTGCAGCCTCTGCAGTGCCAGTTTGATCCTGGCTGGCCAGCGAGGGTCCCACATGGCACGGCAGATCTCTCCTGTCTCGCTCGCTGCTCCCCTCAGGAGTGTATTTCAGTCAGACTGCCAGTTTTGTTCCCCGCTCTGTCTCTGGTGAATCCTCTCACCCTCCTGCATGTCTGGCCTATACCCTGATTCTTGTATAAATAAATAAATAAACAAATAATTTTTTTTTTAAAAAGAGATCAGATCGTTCCAGAAAGTATCTAAGCTTTGTTTTCCACTCTAGGGTAGCTTTTTATCTCATTTCCAGAATAATCTCTTGAAGGCACACTGTACCCCACCCTGTACCCCCACCAATGTGGCTGGAGCTCTGCCATCTGTCTTTCACCTTAACCTGCACTCCGCCCACCTCCCAGGGCTTTCACTTCAGCGGCCTCCTTGACCTGTCAGTGCCTGCCACAGGGCCTTTGTACCAGCTCTTATCTCTGCCTGGAATATTCTTCCCCTCCATAGCAATGGTTGCTTTTTCGTTTCCTTCAGCTCAAGCATCATCTTATCACTGTGACCTCTCCTGCCCCACTGTGCATTCCTGTCAACTTCTGTCTCCTTCTACCCTCTTTTGTTTTCAGCAGAGAATTCTCACCACCCATGTAGGATGTAGTTCTTGTTTCTTTGTCTATTTCCATTTGAAGGTCACCTTGAAGGCAGGGATTCTGTCTGTTTTGTGTAGTACCCAGGATGGTGTCCGGACGTAGTAGGCACTCAGGAAATATAGATGACAACAGGGAAGGAAGGAGTTATTTTTCCATCCGTTTAGTTTGTTATAAAGACATTTTGCCCATTTAACAGTTGCTGAACAGATGAATAGCTTCCTTATAATTGAACTAGATTTAATCCCTTAAAGTTTTATAATGGAAATGATCCTTTCAGAATATCTTATTTTACATGTTCTCTAATTTTTTAAGAATGGAGTGGGGGGGAAGAAATTGTTTTTCCAGAGTGCAATTTAGGGGTTACTTACCAAAAGCCCTTTGCCCTGCTTGAGAGCACACAGGGCAATATAACCTAATGGGCCCTCACCCTCTTTGACCCACAACCTTTGTAGTTGGCCCTGGGTGCAGCAGACAATCACAGAAGAGTAGCCACATCCTGTGGTGCTATTAGCGGGGTCCCCTTGCCTGCTGTCCCTCATCCCCTGACACCTATCCCACTGGGCTTTGTGTTCTGAACATGCCCCTATGGCCAGATGTGCTCCAGGGAGAGTGGGAAATCACGCCATGCAAGGCACTTGGAGGGAAAACAACTAGTCTAAAATCAACTTGACCCCAAAGCTGAGAGCGATGGTTGGATCAGAAGAACCAGAGGCTGGGAACGTGGACACCACACGGCTTGTCTCTAAAGATAAGTGCAGGTCGTGAGAATAAAATCCACCCCCCACTTGTACCTGAGGACTCTCGTGAAAGTGATCAACTTTTCTTCCTAGCGTGGAAGTGATTCGTCTTGGGCAGAGCTACTTCATAAACTGGGACCTGCAGATGTACTACCCCGAGAAGGACACACCCGCAAAGGCGAGGATCACCACGCTGAACGAGCAGCTCGGGCAGATCCACTATATCTTTTCTGACAAGACGGGCACGCTCACGCAGAACATCATGACCTTTAAAAAGTGCTGCATCAACGGGCACATATATGGTGAGTGCAAGCCCCACATTCCCTGGGCACTGTGATTTGCCTGCCAGTGCCCTCTCAATGCAGTTCCCAGGCTGAGGACTAGAGCAGCTTGCTAGGGGCCTGGGGGGGACCTGTGCATGGGAGAGGTCAGCCGTCAGAAATTGGTGCCCATTCCTCAAAGATATAAACGGAATTACCATGTGTTCCAGGAGTTCTATATCTGGGTTTATACCCAAAGAAACTAAGGGGGGACTTGAAGAGACATTTGTACACCCATGTTTTAGTTGTATTATTCATAATAGGTAAAAAGTAGAAGCAAGCCTAGTGTCCAACACCCAATGACTGGATAAGGAAAATGTAGTGTATTCGTACGATGGAATATTACTTAGCCTTTAAAAGGAAGGACATACATACCGGCTTGTTGCAACATTGATGAACCTTGGGAATATTAGGCTAACAAAATAAGTGACTCACAAAAGGACAAATACAGGGTGGTTCCACTTATACGGGGTACCTAGAACTGTCGAATTCATAGAGATAGAAAGTGGCATAATGGTTCTCAGGCTGGTTTGTGGGGAGGGGGTAGATATTATTTAATGAATACAGAATTTCAGTATTATCAGTGGAAAGGGCTCCAGAGATGGGATGCAGGTGATGGTTCTTAATGCAGTAGACTTAAAAATGGTTAAGATGGTTGATTTTAAGTCACATGTATTTCACCATAATTATTTTTTTAAAGTTGATTTCCTTTCTAATATTCTGAAATGCACTGTTTTATTTTTTTTTAAAAGATTTTATTTATCCATGCATACAATAGCAGGGGTACAGGCCAGAGATGTGGGGGTGAGAGGACTCACCAGAGACAGAGTGGGGAACAGAACAGGCAGACTGACTGAAATACACTGCTGAGTGGAGCAGCGGGCGAGACAGGGCGAGACAGCAATGTGCGTTGCTCCCTGGCCAGGGATCAAACTCATGCTGCCGAGGCTGCGGACTGCTTCATAGTGTGGTGCTTCCTTGTGCCTCCAGGGAGGCCCAAAATGCACTATATTTTTATAAAAATATTAAGGTTACTACTGTATTTAATCAGAGTGTTCTGACTTTTAAATAAAGACTTAATAGTACAGTATTTCCAAAAAGCCCTAGGGATGCAATATGCTTTCCACTTGGACAAAACTGTACTGTGAATGTTTTCATGTGATGAGCTTCTACGGAGACTGGGGAGCACTTAGGGGTGTGGGAGAGGGTCTTGTCTGCAGTGGATGTCCCTGCAGGGCTGAGGGAGGTATTCCACCTCAGGGATATGATTCTGGTCCAGAATCACAGACACCGGAACTTGAACATCTAGATCAGGAATCTGCAAATTTTTTTGGTAAATAAGCCAGATAAGAAATATTTTAACCACTGTCGTTTATGGCCTTAAGATAGTCTCCTTTGTATGTTAGGTGGTGTTTTTTTTTTAATATCTCTTAAAATATGTAAATGCCATTCTTAAAATTTCAGGCTATTTAGAGATATGCTATAAGACTGCTAGAACTGTTGCCTCCCACACCACCCCCCTGCCCACACACACACACATAGACCCAAAGCCAGGCGAGGCGGACTCTGGACACAGGTAAAGGCTCAATTTGTTTTGTCCTTTCTTTTTCTTAGGAGACCCTCGGGATGCCTCTCAACACAGTCATAGCAAGATAGAGGTGAGTCCACTAACTTACGGAGTTGTTTAGAGGTGGATTAGTTTCCAAACTCCACAAAATGGATAGCTTAAAAGAACAGAAATTTATTCTGTAATTCTGGAGACAAAATGTCTGAAATGAAAGTTCAGTAGAGCCATGCTCCCTCCAATGTTCCGGGGAAGAATCTTCCTAACTTCTGATGGTTGCCTGCAATCCTTGGTATCCTTGTGTTGTAAATATAACACTCAGATGTCTGCCTCTGTCATCACCTGGTCATCTTTTATATGTCTGTATCCAGATTTCCCTTCTTTTATAAAGATACCAGTCATTGTATGAGAGCCCACCCTAATCTGGTATGATCTCATCTTGGTGTGACTACATCTGCCAAGACCCAATTTTCAAATAAGGTCATAATCACACATTCCAGGGGTCTGGACTTCAACCTATCTTTTGGGGGCACACAATTCAACCTGCGATAGAGTATCTTGTTTTAAAGCAAGTGAAGCTCTTGATACTTCAAAAGGTGGTTTTGGATGAAGGATGGGCTTCCGTGGAAAGTTCCTATCATTTGTTGTTAAGTTCAAGTTGTTTTTTGCATCAAGTTTTCTTTTCCTTCTCCATGTCTTTCAGGAAGTTGATTTTAGCTGGAATACATATGCTGATGGGAAGCTTGCATTTTATGACCATTATCTCATTGAGCAAATCCAGACAGGGAAAGAGCCGGAAATTCGACAATTCTTCTTCCTGCTTGCGATTTGCCACACGGTCATGGTGGAAAGAATTGATGGTGAGTGTTTCTCTTGCATCTTGGACACTAGAGATCAGATTTTTCAGTGTACAGGTAATTCATGCTTGGGACGCAAAGGCATATAAAGTAGAATGCATGGCAAGCTTATCTCACTCAAGCACTTAGTACGTATGAGTACCTATCTCTAGATCGTGTATGGGATTGCAAATATGAAACAGTTCCTGGTGTCTGAAAATATATATCTTAATTCACATATATAATTTCAGATGTGTTTATCACTTTGTAAATAAAATCTTAACACTAATAGAAATAATTGATTCTTGAATTATCATAGTAGGAGAATCAAAATATTCCCTCTGTGATTTCTTAACATTATTTGACAATCTTTCCTACAAAATAAATTCAGAGATAAACTTTTATTTTCTAGATTCAGATGTGTTTTGTGTTTGAAATAATAGCAAAGTCTAGGCTTCCCTTAAAGCTATTTTGTCACTGAGGGAGAATAATTTGGGGCCTTTACATAGAAATTAGCGAAAATGACTTGTAGTTTCCATTACAGAAGTCTTTTTTTTAAGACTTATTTTATTTGTTTATGCATACAAGAGCTGGGGTGTAGGCTAGAGGTGTGTGGGGGCAGTGAGTGGATTTACCAGAGACAGTGGGGAGCAGAACAGGTGGACTGACTGAAATACACTGCTGAGGGGAGCAGTGGGTAAGACAGGAGAAGTCTGCTGTGCCATGTGGGTCAGCTCCCTGACCTGGGATCGAACTTATGCTTTAGTGGCTGCTGATAGCTTCACAGTGTTGAGACTTAACCCCTTGCACCACTAGGGAGGAACCCCACCTTTGTAGAATTCTTAAATGTGTTTTGTGCCAGCTTTGTTATAAGTTTGTTCAGTCTCACTGGGAGCTGGTCTGTTAATCATATAGGAATATAATGACCAATTGTATAGATATTCATGTGCATTAGCAGAAGAGAAAAAGCAAACCTTTTGGCATGAAACACTGTCCATTCTCTATTCAGTCATTGCACCAGATGAAGACCCCTCTCTGTTTTCTGACCCTGAGGTTTCATATGTAGCCACTGTAAAATCTCCAGAGGAGGATTATGCCTACAAACTTAGAGTGTAGAAGCTGAATATGATATCTTTCAGCACGTTTCAAAGAAACCGAATCTCCAGAGATAAATCTAGTAGTGCAATAAAGATAACAGCAGACTTCAAATTGGGGTAGATCCGGGGAAGGGGCTACTGGCAGACAACATGGGGTAAACTGAAAGAGATGACACCAGATGTGAGTAACTGAAGCAGAGTTCAAAGTTTGTTTGACTAGCCAAGCGCATGTTACTCGTTTAATAAGGATCAGGTATGATATTGTAAAGCAACTTGGCCCTCTTAGGTTTTGACTCATTAGTAAAATTACTTTGTTTTGAGTATGTGGTAGCATTATTTTGGCAATTTGCGGCCCAACGTTGTGCAAAAAGTTGTGCTTGCTCACACCATATGTGACGGGCAGTTTCTTTAGCACTGAGAATGATAGAAGGAAGTACAAGAAAAACTCACTTTGGCTTTAATCCATAAAGTACATTGAAACGGTTCCTTGGAGGGGCCATTCCTCAAAATCCTATAGATAAGGAAATTCAGACCCTGAAAACATGAGGACCCTGCCTGAGCTTATGATCCAAGTAAAACTCATTTTGGCTGAGTCCTCGCGCTCCACCATGCTTTGCTCTTGCAGTCTTGTGATCTCCCTTTATTGGAATGATTGCAATTGATTAGTTTCTTATTACATATAACATCAACAAGAGAGGGGAGGGAAGAAGTCACCACACACACACACACACACACACACACACACACACAAGTCATGCAGCACGTGGTTGGTGCGGCCCAAGTGTGCAGTATGTGTCATGGTCCATGGGGCTACGTGTGGAGAGGCTGCATTGGTTTTCTGTTTCTCTGTCGTGAATGCTCACAACTCAGTAACATCCATCACCCTTTCAGTAGCTCACAGCCCCTGAGGTTACAAGTCTGGGCACGGCATGACTGAATTCTCTGCAAAGGATCTCCCCCAAATCAGGGTCGAGCCGTCTTCTCATTGGAACTCACGATCCTTTTCCACACCCCTGTGGTTCCATGTTCTGGTGGAGGGAAACCAGCAGGAAATGAAGGCTTCAGTTTTCTGTACTTGGAGGACTAAGGTCTCCATTGCCTGCTGGGTGCTTTCCACTGCTTGAGGCTCCCTCCCTGGCCCCAGGTTGTTCCCTCTAACTTAAATACCAGCAATGGAGAGTCTTCCTTCCAGGAAACCCTTTTATGCTTTGAATCTCTCTCCCATGGAAGAGCCTCTTTAAGGACTGACTTAATTAGGTTGGGAATAGCCTCATAATAATAATCTCCCTATCTTAAGTCAACTGACTTGGACCATAATTACATCTGCCAAATCTCTTTCCTGGGGCTGTATCTAGACTAATACCTGGGGGAAGGCATGTATCTACCCGTGGGGTGAGAATGTTGGTGCCATCTTACACTGTGACCTCCCAGAGGCCGTGGGTGAGCAGAGTTCACAAGTCTTGGAGGCCTTTCCTTCCTCTGAAGGTCTTTGAGTTGGGAATTGCCATGATCGGAGGCTTTGTTTAGAGCAGGAAGGCACAGGGGATCGGGCTGGAAGCTGAGGGCCTGGGCAGGGGGTTGAGGGATCTTTGGGAATGAGGAGAAAGCCATGGGTATGGGAGGTAGTCTAAAGTGATTGGAGGTGGAGAAGGGTTGTCTCAAGGGTAACTAACCCCTTTCCAGCTGGTGACTAGAAGACTGTGCCAGCTGGTAGCCATTGTGGAAACGCATCAGCATCAGGAGAAATGGGACCTGTGGTTTGAGCCTCATTTTTATTTGTATCCATTTTACAATCCACAAATTAGCCTGTAGAAGTCAAGAAAGTCTCTGGTTGCCTCCACGTGTGTGGTAAATAAAGTGTTTCCTCCAGCAATGTTTTCAGAGCATTATTTTTGAGTCCTCCCTGCACACATTAAGTTGGCGTTGGTCCAAATCTCTGAAATTTCTCCTGCCTTTATTAATCTGCAGTTCTGCGATTCCATTATGAAAATGAAATAGAAGGAATTTTCTTTTAATGATTAAAAATATCAGTGTTTGCTTCAGATAGGATTGTCTCGTGGGAACTTTACCACCTTTTATCATTTTGTTCCTTTTTACTGTTGGAAATGTTTGCCAATATGATGCAATATTTATCACCATCCCAGCTAATCTTGCCAAAAGGAGGGGCATGTGTTTGCACTCCTGCTTTGGTTAGCGCTGGTTAGGGATTTTGTGTGTGTGTGTGTGTGTGTGTGTGTGTTTTCAATCCTTTTGTCACTTCCAGCATATGACTCTCAGTGAACAGATACAAGAGAAAGAGAACCTAGCGTCATCCTCAATCACAAATTGTGCAGTAGTTAATTCTGACTTAGAGTAACCCATGTGACCAGCTGTGTGAAAAAGGGGTAGTTGGCTCTTCCAACACCCATCATCCTCCCAGGTAGACTGATGGCATTAAAGCTGCCCATCCATCCATAGCCTGCATCCTGGGTAACCCATAGTGGAAATGAATTTTTTGTGAAAATTCATCTGACCGTAGAAATACTTTTCTTTCTACATTCAACAGAAGAACTAGAACAGAAAAAAATAGAAAGCTTTGAATAAGCAGAATTTTGTTTTAATTGAAGTAACATTGCATTATGATAGATATAAGTTTCAGTTGTGCATCCTTAAGAATTAACATGTGCGTGTACTACAGTGAAATCACCACTAAATGTGCAATTCTATTCTTTGCCTACCAGTGTTGCCGTTTATCATGATTTACACATTCCCTGCCCCCTCCCCTTTAGGTAATGGTTAACTAGTCTTATAGTGTAATCGCTTGCTTTTGTTTTATTTATTTCATCACTTGGTTTCTCTGTAAAACCACATACCAGTGAAATCACGCAGTGTTTGTCTTCTGCATCAGGTTTATTTTACTAAGCACAATCCCCTCCAGTTTCATCCATCCTGTTATAAATGGCAGGATTTCATCTTCTTTAATATTCAATAGTATCCCATAGTGTATCTATACCATTTATTTATCCATTCAGCAGTTGATGGGAACTTAGGTTGTTTCCAGTTCTTAGCAATTTAAATAACATATTGTTTTAACTTCTTTTTTTAAAGATTTATTTATGCATACAAGAATTGGGGTACAGGGCAGAGGTGCAGGGGGAGGGGTGGTAAGAGGATTCACCAGAGACAGAGTGGGGAACAGAACAGGCAGACTGACTGAAATACACTGCTGAGGGGAGCAGCGGGCGAGACAGGAGAGGTCTGCTGCGCCATGTGGGTAGCTCCCTGGCCAGGGATCAAACTCATGCTGCAGTGGCTGCGGATAGCTTCATAGGTTGTGTCTTAACCCCTGCACCACCAGGGAGGTACTATTTTAACTTCTTACTGAAGTACGACATGTACAGATCAATGCAGAATATAATCAATCCCCTAAGAGTCCCCTTTGTGCCCTCCAGTTACCGCCCCTCCAAGAGTAACTCTTGTCCTGACTTCATGTGCACAAGCCAGCGCTGGCGGCATGTGGTCTGTGCAGTTGGCATCGCCCCGTGTTTTCTTGTGTGTCTGCCTTGGCAGAATACAGTGTGATTTATTCCTGTTGTTGACGTTGAATAGACTTGTGAATAGAAGGCAGTTTTCCATCATTTAGCTTTTAAACATCAGGCTATGAAACAGATTGATGAATTTGGAGAAAGATTTTAAAATATAAGGATTTATATTTAGTGTGATTGAAATAGGTATATGAAAGAGGATTAGAAGGAACTGTAACACAATGACAATAGTGGTGTTCTGGGTGACGTGGCTGTGGAATTTCCTCCTCATTCTTGGCCAGTGTTTAAACTTGCAGCTTATAGACCTGTTTATTATGAGAAATAAAACGAGTTTAAAAAGCGTTAATGCTGGCAGACTCCTTAAGCATTTAGTGACCTCTTTTCCTGGGGATGTTTGGACAGTGGAAATGCCCTCACCCCCTCATGTGGACCTAAGCAGTGAAGCCTTAGTGCTGAGCTCTCAGTTCTCTCTGCCTTTGTTAGGTCAAATCAACTACCAAGCGGCTTCCCCTGATGAAGGTGCTCTGGTAAATGCTGCCAGGAACTTTGGCTTTGCCTTCCTGGCCAGGACCCAGAACACGATCACCATCAGCGAGATGGGCACCGAGCGGACATACAACGTTCTTGCCCTTTTGGATTTCAACAGTGACCGGAAGCGGATGTCCATCATTGGTAAGTCTCCCCCCAGCCCTGTCTGTGAATCACTCATTTAGAAGCTGCCTTTTACACTTTTTATTTAACAACTTGAAGATGAAGAAAACAGGTGATGAGAAAACCTGCTGGCTCCTAGTTTCCACAGGTTTGTCAAAACTAGTGTTTTCTTCCTTCATTCTGCATGATGCCCATTACTCAAAGGGACAACTGTCCAGTGTGGAATCTGGGGTGGTAGCAAGATGGTTTACTCAAAACATGTGTTTTCCAGGGGCTTCTGCTCAGCACCAGCCTTTAGAGAAGAGAGAATGAGCAGGAAAGGAGTTCTGAGAAAAGCAAAGCTCTGTTTCTGAATAGAAAGCAAACCTCCAGTCTGGGCACATTATAACAGGTCACCAAGCAGAGATGAGGGCCACACCTTAATGGGAATTCTTCTCTCTGGTCATCATTTGAAACAATTTCAACCATAGCAGAAAAATTACATGAATTATTTAAAGAACTCCTGTATTTCCCATCCATATCCACCAACTATTCCCATTGGTTGTGTATTCTTCGTCATTTTCATTATATATCAATTCTTCTTTTTCTGAATCATGAGAATAAATTGCAGATTTAATGTCCTTTTCCTCTGAATACTTACATATTTCCAATGAACAGGAACATTCAATTATATCTATATTATATACAGTAAAATGATCTGAATCAGAACATTTAATATGCTATAATATTATCTCAGCTATAGAACATTTATAGATTTTACTGGGAATTTTCTTTCTTTTCTGGCTCAGGATCCAACCCAAGATCAAACATTGTGTGGTTAATCCTTACTGGTCTCCTTTAATCTAGGAAATTAAAGTTCCTCGATCTTTTGTGATCTTTCACTCACTGACCTTCTTGAAAAGCACAGGCCTGCTATTTCTTGCAAAGACCCTCAAAATGAGTTTGTCCTACATTCCTTCATGATTAATTCAGCTGACACACTGTCAGCAGGAGGAGTACACAGATTGAAGCTGTGTCTTTCCCAGCATATCACTTCAGAAGGCACATTCTTTTGTTTATACCAATAGAATTATTGGTGAAGATTGTGGTGATCACTTGGCTAGTTGGTATTCACAAGATTCCTCCACTATCAGACTGGATTTATGACCAATAAAAATATACAGGTTTGTGCTCACTTCGGCAGCACATATACTAAAATTGGAACGATACAGAGAAGATTAGCATGGCCCCTGCACAAGGATGACACGCAAATTCGTGAAGCATTCCGTATTTAAAAAAATAAATAGGTTTGTCTAGTCAACCCGGATTAAGCACTTTTACTGAGTGCTTTATTATATGATTTAGGTCAATTATCAGGCCTCCCATCCACCTTAAAAACTTTAAATCTTGCTAGCTGTGAGGCTTATACTGCAATTAAATTACTGGATAGATCAAAAAATCCAAGAAAACAGTCACAAGGAGTAATATTATGATCTGGATATTAGAGGCAGTAAATGTTATGAAATTATAAGTAAGAAAGGGTCTTGCAGTTGGTATGGCAAATGAAAGAAATTTATGAGCACAGGGCATAACAGGCATAACATATAGTAGGAAGTCAGGGAATATTTGCTGAAAGAGTTATCAGAGGCTGTGTTATCTTTCAAGTCAGCAATGGAGAATCCCTTCCAACAAAGCTCCTTTCATGTCCCAAAGAACAACACTCCCCAGCCCCTTTTAAAGACTGACCTAATTAGAGTGGGACCATCCAGATAATCTTGCTATCTTAATTCAACTGACTTGGAACACTGAGGTGAATCTTTTCACTGCAGAAAGTGGCTTTGTTTCCAAGTTGTTGAGAGCAACATTTTTTCTAGGTGCACCAATGATTTAATAGTGAATATCAATACAGCAGTACTTCAAATTAACTGTATAAATGTAGTTTTCTACTAAGAAATCAAATCTAACTTACTTGCTTTTCCTTCCCTTGCTACTAGTAAGAACCCCAGAAGGCAATATCAGGCTTTATTGTAAAGGTGCTGACACTGTCATTTATGAACGGTTACATCCAATGAATCCTACAAAGCAGGAGACACAGGATGCCCTGGATGTAAGTCTTGCCTCTAATCTTTATGTCACAATTCCAAACTTAATTTCAGGTATACTATTTCTATATGGTAAATGTTGACCTTCCCTGCTATTGGTTTAGTTGGTTGGAGAGAGCAGCAAAGTGGGAGTGTGATGAGCTCATTCTGATTCTGCCCCCACCAGTGACTTCATAGAAAGTGGCCCTGGTGCCCTTGATAGCATCCAAGTTGGCAGGATCTACAGGACTGGTTCAGTGAACTTGAGCAAGCACCATGACCACATGGAGCTGTAATCTCAATATCTGTGTGGCCCCCAAGAATTCCACCAACCTTCTAGTGTACAACAGGAAAGAAGGCATTCATTCCTAGCAAAGCGATGCATGGATAATTGAGTCCTGGTGCTTCTGTTATGGAATCAGTTTGATTTTCCTCCATTCAACTTGTTATCTTAGGGCACTGTGTCCTTGATCCAATAATACTGCAATGATTCTAGGAATTTCTCTTTTGCCATTGCCTACCAGTCCCCATATTGATTTGGCTCTGTAGAGTGTGGTGGACACCCATCAGACCTGGTGTCCCAATTCTACCTCTTGTTTTGTGCCCTTCGGGGAAATGGTTAACGTCTCACATGAATCCTTGTCCATGTGGAAGAGGACAGGATAATTCCTACCAAGGAGGGTTGTTGCAAGGGAAAGCATCTTATACATTTCCCACACATAGTAGGTACTAATAAAGGGTTGTTTCTTCTCTTTGAGTTTGATTGCATTTGGGGGTTGGTTAGAGGTCCTCAGGAAGAGCCTGATAAATATGTTGCTTACTAAGTGAGGTCACACTTAAGGTTATATGTGTCACTGAAGCAGTCACGTGTTGATGATTTCTCATGAAGATACAAAAAAAAGCTGTCTAATAAAATCATGCAGAACCTTCCAAAGGTTCTTTGAAAGCAAATTCTCAGTTGGGTGAACAAGGTCTTCCATCTTGGCAAGACAAGATGTGATTATGAAGTAACAAAAAATTTTACTGGATCATATATTTTTTTAAAGATTTATTTATTTATACAAGCACTGGGTACAGTCAGAAGCGTGGGAGGGTGAGAGAATTCACCAGAGCGGGCAACAGAATAGGCAGAACAATGGAACACACTGCTGAGGGGAGCAGCGGGTGGCAGGAGAGGTCTATCGGACCATGTGGGACCCTCGCCGGCGGCTAGGGATCGAACCAGCGCTGCAGAGGCTGCCGGCAGCTTCACAGCCCAGCGCTCAACTGCTGTGCCACCAGGGAGGCCCTGGTTCATATTCAAGCTGGTAAATGGCTTTAATCTGCTCACCATGATTAAATTTTCCACATATTCTTTTTCATTAAAATGTTTTATCCAATCTTTAACGTGATATATGAATTTCAGAACTGGTTTGAGAGAATAATGCTTGACTGAAAATTCCTAGTTGATGGGGGCTTGCAGTAGTTTGTGGGGAACAAATTATAAAGTTGTCAGGTCTACACTTATAACATTACTGCACCAAGGCAACTCCCTTCATCTCTTACTTAGTCATTAAAAGAAAAGGACTTTCGGGTCTTCCCGGTGTGCAGCGGTTGAGCGCTGGGTTGCGAAGCTGCCCACAGCCTCTGCAGCGCTGGTTTGATCCCGGCTGCCCGCGAGGGTCCCACTTGGCGCGCAGACCTCTCCTGCCACCCGCTGCTCCTCTCAGCAGTGTATCTCGTCAGTCTGCCTGTTCTGTTCCCCACTCTGTCTCTGGTGAATTCTCTCACCCTCCTGAGCCTCTGGCTGTACCCAGTGCTTGTATAAATAAACAAACAAACAAACAAATATATAAATAGAAAAAAAGAAAAGGACTTTCTTGGTTCTAATGACTTGATTTAGCAGAAAAGTATGCCTTTCCCTCCAAATAATTTGAGAACTACAAATACAGTCCTAGGAGACTACTGAGAAAAATAAAATGATTATATTTATGCAGAAGTAATCTTTCATAATCTCTTTTTAAATTCACTTATTTCAAAGTAAATTTGCAAACTTGATCTTGAATTACATAAAATTAACTATTGTTTGGATGAATGGATTATCTTTCAAATCAGATCTTTGCAAATGAGACTCTCAGAACCCTGTGCCTTTGCTACAAAGAAATTGAAGAAAAAGAATTTGCAGCATGGAATAAAAAGTTTATGGCAGCCAGTGTGGCCTCAACTAACCGAGATGAAGCACTGGATAAAGTGTACGAAGAGATTGAAAAAGACTTAATTGTGAGTTTTAACCTTCATAACATTTTGCTTCCTATTTTAAACAGACTTGGAAATTGTATTAAGTTTTATTACATTTTGAATCTCTTGCTAGAAAGATAATTCTAACTCTAGACTTTGAAATTGGCACAATATAACTAGGTCATTTGAATTTCTTTTGTTCAGCAAGCAAAGTGAAGCTGCCATTATGAGAAACCAAAAGACAGAAAACATGATGAGAGATTATAACCTAATTCTATTATTTTTTTATTTCACTTATTAAAATTCTTTATGATTTTTATACCATACAAACTGGCATATCCTTACTGTGAGAATTATGGAAATGATTTATATTTTATAAAATATTCAAATAAGAAAAAAATGTCATTTGTAAATAAAATTTTCAAAGTTTTAAATTTATTGCTTTCACAGTTTAGATTAACCTGAAATATTCAATATATAACAGATATTGAGCTTTAACAATATTGGCTTATGTCTGTATGAAGTGCCATAGCCACAATGAAAGCGTATTTTCTTGCATTACTGTATTGGTAAATTACTTTAAGCAAAGGTTGTTGTTTGGATGAATGGATTATCTTTCCATTGGTTTGCAGGGAATTTGTGAAATGCAGTAGCTCTCCGTATTGGTGATCATCATCAACCCCCAAAAAGCACCAACTGAGGTGTATTATTTTTACATGAATTGTACTTAGAGGCCATTTTGGGCTAATTTGCTAATTCCTTTCTTTTTTATGTACATTCCAGCTCTTGGGAGCAACAGCTATTGAAGACAAGCTACAGGATGGAGTCCCAGAAACCATTTCAAAACTTGGAAAAGCTGACATTAAAATTTGGGTGCTTACTGGAGACAAAAAGGGTAATCTATTGTGTAGAGAAGTATATCTGCTAACTTACAAATATTCATAGCTCCTGTTCCCTTGAACAACACGACTCCCTCAGACTTTGCATATAAACACCATCCATTTTCTTTGGGACAGAGACATTTTCCCTAAGAAATCCTTTTGTATTATTCTAACCTACCCCGTTCCTTCCAGCTGAGATCCCGGTTGTGTCTTTTTGTTTGTTTGTTTTATTTTTAAATTTTTTTAAATTTTATTTTTATATTCCCCATACAATTGCAACCCCTTATTTTTTTTTTAAAGATTTATTTATTTATACAAGCACTGGGTACAGTCAGAAGTGCGGGAGGGTGAGAGAATTCACCAGAGCCAGAGCGGGGAGCAGAGCAGGCAGAAGGATCGAAGTACACTGCTGAGGGGAGCAGCGGGCGGCAGGAGAGGGCTGTCGCGCTATGTGGGACCTTCATCGGCAGCCAGGGATCGAACCAGCGCTGCAGATGCTGCGGGCAGCTTCGCAGCCCAGCGCTCACCCGCTGCGCGGAGGCCCTGCAACCCCCTTATTTTGACCTCAATCCCTCCTTTCCCTGCTTCCCCCCCAATAGTGTGTGTCTCGTTCATAGTTGTTTGTTGATTTTGATTTTTTCTTTCTTATAGTTATTCTTTTTCCTGGTCCCTTATTTAGGTTTTCTAGACTCCTGCTATGAGTGAGACCATCTGGTATTTTTCTTTTTCTTTCTGGCTTATTTCGCTGCGCATGATCCCTTCCAGCTCCATCCATGTTGCTGCAAATTGCATGAGTTTATCTTTCTTGATTGCTGGGTAATACTCCATTGTGTATATGTACCACATCTTCTTGATCCAGTCATCTATTTTTGGGCATTTGGGTTGTTTCCAAAGCTTAGCTATTGTAAATAGTGCTGCTATAAACATAGGGGTGCAGGTGCTCTTTGGAATTAACAGTTGTGTCTTAACTGTGATTAGTCTTTTCTCTCCAGCTAGAAGTGAGGCCCTACCTTACAGCCTTTCTTGTCTCTTCCGTCCTTCCGAGCACATAATCATTTGTTGGTCATAGGTTAGAATACTACAAAATGCTGGGTTTTTGTTTTCTTGCCCATTATATTTCTTGAAAACTATTAAACTTTTATAGCTAAGGGAAGATTTTCATTTTCAAATTTGGACTCAAAAAGGGATTGATGAGCATTGATACTTTACCCCACAAGCCTCCCACAGAAACCAGATAATTTCTCTTACTCTGACATCATCAATAGTTTACACATTCTGATAAGCTAAGGGAAGCACAAGTTAAAACTGTGACTTTTAACAAACAGCAAAGGAAGGTGATGGAAAAAGAGGGATTAAAAAAACCTCTCCAGTAGGAGCCTCATGGCAGGATTGATGGACATGGTCCCCCACCACCCCCATAACAGGATGATTAAACCATGTAAAATGAGAGCACTTAGTATTTCAATGAACATTAGTTACATATAACCAGCTCCTGTATTTGATATTATTTCATATTAGTGAAAACATCATAAGCCTATGCTTATTACAGAGAAAGAGCTTTTTCTTTGGGATTTCTATCCACTGCCACAGAAAAACAGCTATTTGATTGAATCTAACTTTCGTCAATTGAAAAAAAAAGCCATCCTTACCAGCTAATTTCCATGATTAAATTCATCAGTAGAGACGGCACTTGACATAATCTTTTTCTGTTGTAGAAACTGCTGAAAACATTGGATTTGCCTGTGAACTTCTCACCGAAGAGACCACTATCTACTATGGGGAAGATATAAAGTAAGTAAGGACCTGTGGTTTGGAAACATGAAATGTCTCATTTTCATAAAGGCTTGTGGGGTAAAGATGCAGGAGACGTAACAGATAAGGAGAAGTCGGGCAAGACTGTCATCTGGGACAGTTTCTTCGCTTTTAAATGAAATGAGAGACCGACAGGCAGCTCCGAGTTAACATAGTCCGACCCCAGTTGTAAGAAAACGTGAGGTCTTTACTTGCCTTTCAAGGGGGTGTTATCCCTTAGAAGTCTCTGGTGCTTTCTGCTGAATGGGAGTGGGCCTGAGATGTTATGAACAAATTAATATGAACTGTAATCATGTACTGCCTTTTTTAGGAATTTTATGGAAAAAAAAATAGAAAGCAAAACCCACAGTACTTCCTGGAAGGAAATATGTGGGAGGGTTGCAGCTGTCATCTTGTCCAGATGGGGCAGATCTGATGTTTGGAAGCTCAGCTTATGCTGAAACACTCAGCCCCAAGTCAGAGTCACAGCGGACCTGGAAATGTCCCTGGGAAGGCCCTGTCTTATGTGGCTACGTGTGCACCAAACCACAGCCAGGATGTTTGCAGATGGCTCATGCCATGTATTCCTCTAATTTTTTCCCTTACAACCTCCCTGGGACTGTCACAAGGGCAAATTAAGCTCTTACCCAACACACTTGCCTCCTCTGCTAAGATGATGAGGGAGTTGGGTGGAACCAGCCTTCATTCTAATGTAGATAATAGAGTTCCCTTCCCCCCACCTTTTTTTTATTGCCATTATTTCAATCATAGCTTTTGCAAGCCCTTCCAGTCTACCAGGCACTCTGCTAAATTAAACAAAGTTAAGTAGGCTTATAATCTAAGTAGATCAGTTTTGTTTGAATAAAGGTACACTAACCAGGTCTCTGCTTTTAGGTTTTTAAAAGATATCAATAGACAGGGACCTCCCTGTGGCGTAGACGTTGTCTCAGCACTGTCACCACTACTCCCCAGCCAGGGAGCTGACCCACGTGGCACAGCAGACCACTCCTGTCTTGCCCACTGCTCCCCTCAGCAGTCTATTTCAATAAATCCACCTGTTCTGCTCCCCATTCTGTCTCTGGTGAATCCTCTCAACCCCCAAACCTCTGGCCTATACCCCAGTTCTTCTACACATAAATAAAATCTTTTTAAAAAAAGAGCAATAGACAAATACTAATATGTTCACCTACTAAGTAGTTTCGTGGTTTCAAATAATTTGGTTAATTTAGCCTATGGTCTTGTTTATTTCTTATAAATGGAGGTATTACGTTTCTGGTTTCTCTTTTGAAAGCATGCAAAAATTGGGCCCCAAGCTAAATTAGAAGATAAAATCTATGCAGCTTGCAAATTTTATGATCATGCTCTTAGTTAATTCTACCATTCTAGAGAGCTGAATCATCCTTTCTAGACAGTTCCTGAAATGATTCTTGTGGAATGGTTTGCATACAAAGCTTATATTTTTCTTTCCAACATCCACCGATGGATGAATAGATGAACAAAATGTGGTCTAGCCATACAATGGACTATTCCTTTACCCTTAAAATGAAGGGAATTCTGACATAAATTACAGTATGGATCAACCTTGAGGACAATGAAATAAGTCAATTTATAAAAGACAAGTACTGTATGATTCCCTTATCTGAGTTTCCTGGAGTGATGAAGTTCATAGAAACAAAAAGTAGAGCCAGCAGCTGAGGGGAGGGGAGTGGATGTTGGTATTCAAGGGTACAGGGTTTTTTGTTTGAAAGATGATGACGAAGTTCTGGAGGTTGGTTATATACAATGTGAATATACTTATTACTAGTGAACGTTGACATTTAAAAATATTTAAGATACATTTGTGTTAGGTGTTGGTTTTGGGTTTTTTTTTTTTTTTTTGTAACCACAATTTAAAAAAGATTCTAGGGCCTCCCCGGTGGCGCAGCAGGTTGAACACAGCGTTGTGAAGCTGTCCACAGCCTCTGCCACAGGGGTTCAATTCCCGGCTGGCCAAGGAGAAACCCACATGGCGCGGCAGACCTCTCTGTCTCACCTGCTACTCCCTCAGCAGTGTATTTCGGTCCTTCTGCCTGTTCTGCTCCCTGTTCTATCTCTGGTGAATTCTCTCTCCCTCCCTCGCCTCTGGCTGTACCCCAGTGCTTGTATAAAATAAATAATAAATCTTTAAAAAAAAAAAGATTTTATGTCACGGTCAAGTGCCTGTTTATGGTCTTTTAATTGAAACTCTTCAATTCCCTTTCCCCCAGTGCTCTTCTTCACTCAAGGATGGAGAACCAGAGGAACAGAGGTGGGGTCCACACAAAGTTTATGCCTCCAGTGGATGAACCGTTTTTCCATCTGCTGGAAAACGTGCCCTAATAATCACTGGTTCATGGTTGGTATGTATAGAGTTCATTAGAGACTAACTTTGGAGGGTTTCCCATATGAACTGCCAACTTACACATCCCTTAGTTTGAGACTTAATTATATGAAAAATTATAACATCTTTGGATCATTGCTTCATGGATTTTCTTTTTTCCCTGCACATTTTTTGTATTTGCTTAAATTTTTAATGTAAATATGTTTTCTAATCAAAGTATTATCATAGGGCCTCCCTGGTGGCACAAGGGATTAAGCACCACACTATGAAGCAATCTGCAGCCTCTGCAGCACGAGTTCGATCCCCCGCCAGCCAGGGAGCAACCCACATGGTGCAGCAGACCTCTCCTGTCTCGCCCGCTGCTCCCCTCAGCAGTTTATTTCAGTCAGTCTGCCTGTTCTATTCCCCACTCTGTCTCTGGTGAATCCTCTCACCTCCCCACATCTTTGGCCTGTACCCCAGCTCTTGTATGCATAAATAAATCTTTAAAAAAAAAATTATCATCAATGATGTCAACTAAGAACTGGTGAATGAGGTTCTTGATATAAAAATGGGTGTAATTGTTCCTCTCCCTGATTTCACAGAATGAAATTCTCCTAGAGAAAAAGACCAAGAAAAATAAGATCCTGAAGCTCAAGTTCCCAAGGACAGAAGAAGAAAGACGCTTTCGGACGCAGAGTAAAAGGCGGATGGAAGTTAAGAAAGAGCAGCGCCAGAAGAACTTTGTGACCTGGCCTGTGAGTGCAGTGCCGTCATCTGCTGCAGGGTCACTCCCAAGCAGAAGGCCATGGTGGTGGACCTGGTGAAGAGGTACAAGAAAGCCATCACGCTGGCGATCGGAGACGGGGCCAATGATGTCAACATGATCAAAAGTGAGTCAGTGAGACCGGGATCGCTGATGAGAACAAACTGCAGGAGCACCTGGGGGTGGGGGGGGGAGCTGGTTTTTTGGTTTTTTGGTTTTTTTTAACCCATATTTCATTGCTTAGATTTTCATCAAGCTATTTAATCCAGGCATTTACCCATGCTGACCACACCTATGGTGCCACCCTCAGG